ATATATGGATCGTATCTGTTTTTACCTGATCTTTTTTCGGTTTCTGACCTCCTGGAATTGCTCCTTTCTTCATGATGAAACTGAGGTACGGTATCTTCCTCAATTCGCAACTTCGTACTGTACCTGTTATAAACGTCATTCCACGTGGTTGCAGGGAACTCTCGAAGGCTTTCTTTAAGTCTTCTCGTGGCTTCTGAACTTTTATCATTTAAGTTGCTTGCAAAAGCTATTGCAGCCCAATTATCAGGTACACGGGGTAAAGTCATCCTTTCACGTTGGAATCTATCAACAAAATCTCTGAGTAACTCTGAGCCCCCTTGTTTAAGTTTGAAAATGTCTTCCATTCTTTTTTCAACCTTTTGAGCTCCCGAGTGCTTTAATAAAAGAATCTGCAAGCTCAGCAAAAGAGTTTATAGAATTTTCAGGTAAAAGAGAATACCAGGTTAATGCACCCTTGGTGAGTGTTTCTCCAAATTTTTTGACCAACACGGATTCAATTTCTTGCTTGGTCAAATCGTTGCCTTTTACACCTGTAGTAAATGCAGTTACGTGATCACGCGGGTCTGTTGTGCCATCATATTTCGAGATGTCAGGCATTTTGAACTTTTTAAGGATTGGAAGGGGAGCAACACTTGGTTTCCAAGGTTGTTACGAGTATTTATCCACGTCCACTCCTTTGATTACAGGGGGAACTCCAGGGATTTGCTCGATGCGCTCATTTTGTTCCTTAAGCTGTTTCTGCAAAGTTAGTACTAAATTTTGCAAATGAGAATTATTTGAATTACCTGGTTCTCCTTCCTGTGGTTCACTGGGGGTTCCTCCATTTCCAGAATTAACAAGGCCAGAACGAGGATTCTCCAATGTATTGTTATTAGGCGTAGGTGTGGGTGGTGTAACAAGTAATCGACTAACTAGAGCTTGAAGAGCTTTGCTAACCCGTGCATCAATTACTTTTGTAAAGCGTCATCTGCTCCTTCAAAATATTCAGATTGCTCTTGTTCAACAGAACGGGATTCAGGAGTAGGAGTGCCTTCACGAGATTGACGTGGTGAATTTTGAGGGGAAGGAACCACGTTAATGTTTTGTAAATCACCTTGATTTTGATGGATTTGATTTTCATGGTTTCCCAAGGTATTTTCACTGTTATTGTTGTTGTTGTTGTTGACATGATGATAACAACAGATAAAATGTAACTTAAAAAGAATAGATTATCAGATTCCCGGTAACGGAACCAATTTGTTTAACAAAAAAACTGAATATTTGGTTAAAGCTAGAAATTAAGAGAGAAATCGGGTTACTGATAATCAAGAAATGAGAGACTTTGAGAACAACAATAAAGCAATGAATAAGTATATATTTCAGTATAATCTTAATGATATTTCCTGTCCTAGAGATGTTGAGACCTTCTCCTTTTATAGTTAATTCTAAGAGAAAGTGTAATGCCTTTGTCTTAATGAGGCAATTACGAGCAATAAATGACATTAAAAGAAACGTTACTCAATCATTCCTATTAAATACAAATTCTCTAACGTATTTGGCATTTAATGCTGAATTTGGACTCTTTTACGCTATCAGATTCATGTCTTCAATTCCTTCTGATCTTCGAGTTTTAAATGACTTCAACAGGTACGAGTCTCATTTCATTTGAATAATAGCTTGTGCCTTTAAGTATCTTCTCTCCCGCATCTATTGTTGCTCGTGCCTCCTAACTGATTACCACGTTTTGACCATTTAATCAATCCACGTGTCATGACACGTCATCTTCAATATATAAATTCAGTTTTTTTCCAATACAATAACTCTGTGTCGTCGGGAGTTGGTAGAAACATAATAATACACAAATACTTTATTTACCAAGCGGTCCTTAACCTAAATACTTAAGTTCTTGGAATATCCTGTGGAACATTCCTCTAGAAATATCTAAGGGTTGAACTAGCCGTTCAGGCTAATGGAGTGCTCGACCTCGACCGTAGCCGAATCACTCGTTAGTGTATTGCTTCTCATACGTGACTCGGCTTGATTAGCTCTTGGTCGTCCTCTCTTAAGTGAGATTCTTCTGTTCAGATTTCGACCTATACAGTTAGTCTCTCCGCCCGTCGAGGTTGCCTTTGGGCGAGCTCGGTGGACAAACTACGCCAATTACATTTTTTTTTAGAAATCTGAGAACATTGGCCGAAGAGTGATTCCCCTTTGTTGGCGAGGTGGCGAGGTGACGCTTCAAAAACCGCACCTGACCGTTACATCAGTTTGAAATGATACTTTCTTCGTGCGTCATTATGGCGAGGTCTATGACATGGTTAACTGAGATTTAGAATGATCAACATTTAAAAAGAAAAGAAAAAAAAATTATTTCTGGAAAATGTCATCCTTCTCTAATATCTCTATTTGCTTGAAATTTAGAGAACGGAAAAAATAAAGGAATGAGCATATAATTCAAAGAGGAGTCCATCTTCATTCGAGAACAATTATCACTAGGTTCTTGCATCCACATTTGATTGGCGATCTCATTATTCTAACGGTGATAAATCATTTTTGTTCAATTTGAACAGTGATATTTCAGTTACTGTGATCTATATGACATAATAAAAGTAATTTCTAAAGATCTTTGTTTTACCCTTCTTCTTTTTTAAGTTTTGATCAACCTAAATTTCAATTAACTCTAAGAGAAGGAGATATTACAGGGGAAATCTAATTTATATGTTATTTGTACTTTCTCTAACTTTACTTAGAATCTTTAGATTATTGGAGTTGACAAGTTTACTCTAACATCAAATAGAACAAAGTTTTACATTTTTGTCTATGTAAGATTAGTTTTTGTTTACGCAATCCAAGCCTTACTATCTTTTCTGGTCCTTGTTCTATTTTTGTATTTTTTACAATTAAACTTGCTTTCCCTATGACCTTAAATAGCCACATGTATCCAAGAGGTAAATAAATAGGAAATGAACTATTCTGCAATAAGTTATGTATAAAATAGAGAACTCAAATGGGATCCAGGTTTGTAGTACGTGTCTTGAGGATAACGCATGACAAGATGGGTGTTCCGGGGCCCACATATAAGAGAAGATGTTATAACTCTCCAAAACATAACGTTTATCTGGGTTTTCTATCCAAGCAAGGAAAAGTACATATATTATGCAATCATTTACAATAGTATTAAAGCAGAAAAATCAAGAATTACCAAGAATGCCCCATGACAGGCAGACATGTTGACGGGGTCCTGCCTGCTATTCCTCACACACGTCAAAAAAAAAAAAAAAAAAAACAAAGACACTATCGAAATATATAAAGAAAAAATAGGAATACAAAGTTATGTATAGTTACGATTTTATTACTCCGTCTCATCCACTTTTAAGCGTTTTTTAATATTTTAAAGTTATAATCTAAAATAAATGTCACTTTGTGAAACTAAGAAGACATTAATTTCTTTTTCTTTTCAAATTTACACTTGCTCTATTAATTTAGTCAAATAATTAAGTCAACTTTCGAAAAAGACTTTCCATGCTTACCAAGTGATAATGAATAATTTAGTCAAATAATTTTTATAATTAATACAAAATAATTTTCTTAACTGACAAAAGATACTTAAAATGGTCAGAGGAGTATTATTATTTTATGAAGTACAAAATATTATTTGTAGTTTATGCTTTTTATCGATAAAAAATAATTTGCACATAAAATAATAATATATTATTGATAATTTGTATATCTTATATTTTTAAGAGACGATGTTATTGATGCATGTATTTAATATATGAAATATGTCGCTACTCGCTAGTATAACTAAAAAGTTAAGCTTATTGTTTATTCCAAGAATGCAATTATGGCTTTTTAGTTATTCACATGAGAAATTTCACCTCTTTCTCAAGCTCTCGAGAAAGAAGAATAAATAAACAATCCAATTCAGAGTAATTTCATAAAAATACCAAACTAAATATTACATGAATATAGCTGAAAATAAAAAAAAATTCAGAAAATTCCAGCCAATATCTATTCCTATACTATAAATGGGAGCTTATGGTCAACATGTCTGTCTGACCCAAAATTGTTATGATGTGAATTTGTAGCCCAACACGTGTAACCCAACTATCAATTCGCCGTTTGATTTCTCTTGCTACATCCGACACTGGTGAAAAGCTCTCTGCACAGCCCTCTTCTTCAAACGGCTCTTCGCTTAATATCTCTGCTCTCTCATTCCTCCCCTCTGTCTACTGATATTTCCTACTGGTTAATCTTCTTCTCATCTTGTGTTTCTTGCATTGATTTGTTTCAATCGCTGGCAATATGCTAGGTATTTGTGTTTTCCCCTAAATAGCGAGGGGATTCCTGCAGACAAAGTGAGACATGTTAATAAATTTTGTTCTCTAGGTGTTTGACAAAATTCTTCAATCAGGTTCTCAGTTAGATTTCGTATGCATGGTCCATTCTACTGTTTTCTCTGGTTTCATTTTGAGTTAGGGCATTTTGACGCGCGAATAGGAAATCTCTGCCTGACATTGCAAGAAGTTTCATTAGCTTATTTAGTGGTGTTTTTGAGTTGAAAGCTTTCTTTCTGTCTCCGTTTTAGATAGTCATCAAGATTGATTTTCCTTTGCTTAAGAAATAATTTTGGTTTACTAACAGAGATATCCCGAGCGGCAGTGCCGCAAGGTTTGAAATTCATGTATTATGTAGATAGCTCTGCAATTTGGATCCTTCTTTAGCTACTATTATTTTGGTATATTTTTACCAACAAAGCGGACATCATTTAATAAAAATTTACAATGTTTGAATCGATTGAAACAATAATTATTTTACTGCTTAGCCGGAAAATCTTTAACATCCTGCTATAAATTTGATCAATTAAAGCGAATTCCCTTTCCTTTCTTCTGGATACCGTGAAACCTTTGTTGTCAAATAAAATCGAAATAGTGACTAAATGCAGTACTTGTGATATTCGAATTTGACACTTGCCTCCTACCTCCATGACAGAGGCGCAATATGTTTCTTCTTTTTTAGTTTCTCTTGATGATATGTGGCCTCTAAACTAAGTTATCTATTGTATGTTAATATAAGATATATACTCACTGACTCTTTGGATGGTTTATCGAACGACTAGGTAATATAATTTAATTAGCAATGGATGTATAACATCATGTTAACTGTTCACCTTACAATACAAACTGTAAACAAACTATCAAATAATATTTTAACGTATCTAAATATGTGCACTTATACAATTTCGTTGATCATTTTATATCGATTAAAAAAAATCTATCTGATAAATTAAAAAGGATATGATTAACACAACAAACTTCCCTTATCTTCTGTGCTTTTAGCACTACTTCTGACATTGTATAAAATCATTGAATATAAAATATTTGAAACTTTCTTTTCAGGATAAATACACAAAGGAAAAGTTTTTACCTGTTGCAATGCATGTACGCCGTCTCCTTGCTTGTTCTTCTGTCTGTTTTCTTGAAAATGTGGGGATGTGTTGCATATACATAGCTTGAAGGAGGAGGATTTAGCTTCACAGGTGTGAAGTTATTCTTCTCTGTTACGATAAAATTGCTTTTTATCCACCAATGTCTTCTCCTATTTCGTACAATAATATTGATAATGTATATGACATTGTTAAAGAGTTTGTTTTTATTAGTAATCTAGCTGAAAGGATTAAAGTATTTCGGTGTTACAATATTAATTGCAGTATTTCTTCGTACAACAAAACCTTACTATCTGGTGTGATTATCTTTGAACCTTACCAAGATTAGATAAAATACATGTTGTTGTCTCAAATGAAGTGCTTGCGTGTGACGTCAATGATACATTAGAGCTTCTAAAATACTATATCTTTAATCAATTACTATTTTGGAGATTTTACATAGTAGAAGAACATAATAATTCCAATTAATACTTTATTATTTTGCACTTTTGGTTTATTTTATAGTGAACTATTTTTAATTTGGAAATCATTTGAATTGACTTATTGGAATATGGGGTATCTTGGATTTTGCTTATTGTGTTTACTTTTGGCTGCTTGTAGATTTGTCACTGTGAGACTTTAAGTACTCAAAACTCCGAATTCACATACAAGTAAAAGATAATTGCAATGGGTAGCCAATTTGATCCTTACGCTTTCGCTTTTTCTGCGGCTGAGGTTCTTTTACTTCTCTATCCACACTGATATTTCTTAGCTTTTTAAAAAAAATTCTCATTTTCTCTTCACACAATCAAATTGATGAAATTTTCATCTGATTTTCTATTTGACTTATGCTTTCAAAGGATATTTGTGCTCTATATTTCTTAGATTTTGTTTCATTTCCTCTTACCATTGTGGTTACATAGAAGTATCAGTTTCAGTGCAAATAAATATTGCACCTATATTTTTCCAAACCCATGCCTATTGTCACTAAAGATAAAAGAGTAGTGGGTACAGCAGGTAATTTATATGCACTAACTTAAAAATCCAAGATCTGCTTCTATTTTCAATACAAATCACCTTTTAGTAATTTCACTTTATTTTGTGCTGTTTCATGCTCTTAAGTAATGCCAAAACGGTGAACTTTATTTTCTTGTTTCTCGCTTGTGCAGTTGGAGCTTTTTCAGAAGATGATACGGCTGAAGTTATGCCAAACATGAGAATGGAACCTCTCAATCTTGTATATGTATTATTTTCCTCCTTTAGTTAAATTTATTTCACATAAGCTTTATAGTGTTTGTGCTGATTTTGTTTTGAATATTCAAATTATCTGTCCAGAAATAGCAACACAGGTGCCTCTTTGGGTTAGCAGTTGCTGTTAAGAAACAAAGGAAAATGTACTATCAGACCTCCTGAATCCATGTCCATTGGTAAGTTTTCAGTTGTTGGGTGACTATACTGATCTGTGCTCCCAAGTGCAACAACCAAACTGTTACACATGCTATTGTACTAAGTTAGTTGTTGCTAGCTCAACTTGTATGTCCATATAAGACTATGAAATCTAGAGTACCCTTAAGCAAAGGTTCAGTATTGGAATAGAGACGGGCCAAAATAGAGTAGAATGGTAAAGAGGCTTCATATAGTGACCTCAACTTGTGTGGAGTTGAGGAATAGTAGTAGTTGTTATATATTTGTTGCTAGATTACCTTATCTGATTAAAAAAATATATATTCTCCTGAGTGGTTACTGGTTTGTTATAGAGTAGAGGGAGTTGTGGTGTCTCCAAACAGCTGAGTTTGTTTGAATTGGGCAATTCATATGTTGGTTTGTTTCTTTTTCTATTATAGTTTTCTGTTGATTGTGTTTTGGGATTCGGTTATGTAGTTTAAATACAGCAGTTTTATCACAACAGTGAAATATATCAACTGGGCTAAGATCCTTTCTCTTTGGTATTATGCAAGGCTTATTGAATTGACATATGTGGACGCTGTGGGTCGACGACATTACTGTCTCATCTGCTACATCTTTAGAGGCCCATCATACTCATTGTTTCACCTCAAAATTTCTTCCAGTTACTAATAAGTCTCATGTTTCCTTGCTTAAAACATAGTCATGCTAATACGCTACCAAAACTAAATAGGAAAATTCAATTTCTGCAGAGCCAAATTCCAAGTTGTTCATTTCTTTTAATTTGATTTTCTTTTGGTATTTTTATCCCAGTTATACCAGTACTTTCTTAGAGCCATGTTTTAACTTTCAAGGCCAGTCAACCCATTGAGCTTAAGATTGTGTCACTACAAGTTAACGCTAATGCTCCTTTATTTCTGTTTCACTCTTAGATGAGAATGCGCGCAGTTCAAGAAAGCCGGATAGCTCTAACACGGGCAGGGAAATGAAGAAAACCAAAGTTGATCAGTAGCTGGCAAAGTTGATCAGTAGCTGGCTTGACACATAGAGAGAGAAATTTCAGGCAGTTCTATGATTTACAGGAACTAAGATTTTGTTGGTGATCTCTTGTGCATAGTTAAGGTTTAGATTCAGTGACAATGACATTAAACACTAAGCTTTTGCAGAACACTTTAAATTACATGTCTTCTCAAATACTTGATTCAGAAGAAAGATAAAACATCTATACTTCATTTTATTGTTGCTGAAATTTAAAAACTTTTCAACCTCTTTGCAATTTGAATTATGTGTTAAGCTTACAAATACCTCTTAATAGATTTTACTGGTGTCACGTTTTGGTAAATGGTAGAATGCACATGCTGTGTCTGCTATTCGTTTGATAATTTTGACGAAAATAAAAATGTTCGTGCATCTGCCAACATGAAGCTTCATCTAGCTGTTGGGCCCGGGCCATAACCTCACTAGTTTTAGAAAATAAAAGGGAATACAAATGTACAGAGAGGTATATGTCCCCTCCTCCCCCGTTATAACCAATAAAAATGGAGAAACCATTTGAACTTCTCTTCGCTTCTAGTGAAAGACGGGAGAAGGCTGGAGGCTCGATATATATTACTTCTTCCGTATCAAATTATCTATCGTGTATTTCTCTTTTACACGCCCCTTAAGAAATATTAATTAGGAAAGGTACTCGACTATTTTATCCTTATTTATGTCTTAAAATAAAATCTCTCTTCATTGAATATTTTTGTTTTATTTATATATTATCTCCATCTTCAATAACAATTATTACTAAGGGTGTCACGACCCAAAAATCACAAGTCGTGATGGCACCTAACTCGACCTGCTAGGTAAGCCAACTAACCAACAATACAAGTCAAATGAAATTATAGGAAAATAGAGAAGGAATGGCTGAACTTTAACATACTAACCCAAGAACTGGTAGTACGAATCATGAGTTTCTAAGACTTAGGATTTACAAAACTTATACAAATAATTACACGATCTGTTTGAAAACTACATAAACAGATTATTAAAGTCTAAAACTACCAAGGACAAGTGGAAGCTTTTATCCGGAATACACTAACATCTTCAGGGTCAGCTCCCGACATTACCAGCAGCTCCACTCTAAAAGTCTGCACGCAATGTGCAGAAGTGTAGTATCAGTACAACCGACCCCATGTACTAGTAAGTATCTTGTTTAACCTCGTCGAAGTAGTGACGAGGCTTTTTAGTTAAAAGGTGCTTATTGATAAACACTGTAAAGTAAACTAACAATTGAACTATACTATAGTGTAATGGAATAGAGCACACGGTGTACAAAGCAACACCGAGTACTAAAAGAGATCACAAATCATCAGTTTCCAATATCTCGACCAATCTTTAATTAGAACAAAAATCCATGAACCACAATAATCACCTCAAAACTTTCATAGTATGAGAGAAATACTCAAGACATCAGATCCAACGGCACGGCAACACCCTTCGTGCATTTATCTCATCGTCACCATATATGCGTAAAACACAACACCAACCAAATGGCAAAAATACCAATAACAGAAATGACAAGGAAGGAAATATGTAAGTAGTAATAATGAACGAGAGTGTACATAAGGACGTCAGTCACAAACTAAGCGGAAAACATAGAGGTAATGGCAACAATCAGGAAAAAGGATTATAACTTCAACTAACTAGTATGGCGGGGGCATGAAGATAGATATAACAAATAAGACAGGGGGTACATGATCTTTACAATTTAACAAGTAGAGGCATGAATGACTAACATGGAAGAAGACCTGGACCTAAGTGCAACAAAACAACAGGAAATATGCATGATATTTACAAGTTAAGCAAGTAGAAGGCATGGGCAACACAACAACAATTGAGATATAGAATAAAGACAGAACAGTGACGACAAGTCTCATAAGAACCATAAATACGACAGTAACAAATCAAGGTAAGGCATGATGATATCTGCAAGAAAAGGATATCACAACATAATGCATGTCTCTCGTCCTCACTTGCACGGAAACACCCTTCGTGCCATGAACTCGCAATAACACAAAAGCATGATAATATAGATGCAATGGCACGGCATCACCCTTCGTGCTTTTACTCACATAACATGGCACTGCATCACCCTTCGTGCTTTTACTCACAAGTGATATGGTACGACATCACCCTTCGTGCTTTTACTCTCAATAATATGGCACGACATCATCCTTCGTGTTTTTACTCTCAGATAATATGGCACGGCATGACCCTTCATGCTTTACACTCTTCCTCACATGATAATGTATAAACAATGGCTTGCCGGAATAGTTTATTACATTATCTTGTTCCCTTTCCGGGATAGTTTATTATATTATCTTGTTCCCTTGTCGGGATAGTTTATTATAACACCTTTCTCCCTTGCCGGGATTATTTTGTGTATTGTGTTGAAAGAAATGGGATCGTGTGGCACGCCGACCACGAGATATTATGAAATGGGATCGTGTGGCACGCCGACCACGAGATATTATGAAATGGGAGCGTGTGGCACGCCGACCACGAGATACTATGAAATGGGAGCGAGTGGTACGCCTACCACGTGATATTATGAAATGGGAGCGAGTGGTACGCCTACCACGCGATTTTGTGAAATGGGATCGAGTGGTACGCCTACCACGTGATATTATGAGAAATGGGATCGAGTTGCACGCCTGCAACGAGAGGAAATTGAAACAAGTGAAAGTGGTTTGTTTTCCCTTATTCTGTGTTAGAAGAAATCAGATGTAGTTTCTTTTGTTATTCCTGATATTCCGTTTTATCTGCTACCCCATAAGCATGTTCCCCTCCCAGTTTTAATTGTTTGCTTTCCGCTATTATTTTGTGGTACTTGTATATATATTGGTAAAGAGGAATTTCAAATCTAAATCAATCATTTGATCAAACAAAAAAAGTACTTGGGCCTTAGAGGCAGCGGCTGGGAAAGCGAAGGGAATAGGAAGACCAGGAACGAAGTCACTCGACCAAAAGAAGGTCTTATTTGAGTTCAAAGCGAGGAGCCAGACAGAGACAGATTGCAATTGCAAAAGCCAACTCTAAGAAGCAGCTTTACTTTAAAGAGG